TCTTGTTTCTTTTTATTTTATTTTATTTTTTAAAAAGAAGATTTTAATATTACTTTTTTAGTAGGTAATTACTTTTTCTGTTTCCTTTAAAATATTACTTTTTATGTACATGTACATTACTGACTCTATTAATTATGTATACGGTAGTAAGAATGTAATTTAACTTTTGTTATATTACCTTTTCGATCGGTAATATCATTTTAATTTCCTTAAGCGTTTGAGTAATTTCCTTGCCCTTATCTAAGTTGAAGAAGGTATTAATTAATAACGCTACGCTTGTGTCAAAAAAAAAAATAGAAACCAACTCCAACTCAACCTCCAAGTCCAAGTATTCCTACTCCAACTCTAACTCTGAAATTATTTCAGCTGTTAATTTCCCCTTATTTATAGTCGCTAACTTACTCGTTAGCTCTCATAGATCTCTTTTTCTCTCTCACTCACACACACGTTCGCAAACATAATGTTTTCTCTCATGAGAGCTCCGTCGTCCGATGAGTACCAAATCAATGATTGTGAGCACACATGCGTTTTTGCACAAAACACCTATTTTCCAGACGATCAAACACTTCCAATACCCATGTTTTACATCGTTGTCAAGGTCGAAAGAGAATACTATCCTGTAGGTTCTACAAGATCAGCTAGAAACCGTTTCCTTGATCATGAAAGCACGCGAGAATTCCAGCAACCGATTCACTGTTTCTTGTCGCCGTCGGAGTCGAAATTCGCCATTTCAAACATGCTATCGAGCATCAAAATCCCGTTCGATTGGGAAAGCAATCTCTACTGGAAGGATCGGCGCTGTGGTGGAGCTGCGACACTGCTGAACGGCGTCGACGACATGGTAGCTAGGGTTTTGGAGTTTGCCGGGCGAATGATCGGCTCGGCGGCTGAGACAGGACGCAAGAAGCTCAGCATGCTCGTCACGATCGAGAAGGTAATGGTCGTCTTAAGTCAAGATTATGAGTCGATGGTTAGGGCTAGAGAAGAGGAGGAGGCCTTAGAGAGTCATAGATATATGATATCAAGAATGCTAGAACATGACCCGTCGTACCAGTTGGAGGATGTCATGAGTTTGTTGAGGAGGCATTCGTCGGCCTTTAACCGAGAGATTGAACTAAGCTTAAGATCGGCGGCGTTCAATGGATCAAAACCGGCGGCTAAATCGGCAGTGAAGGCGTTGGAGAGGTTTATATATGATGGAGTTAGTGATGATGATGAATCAAAGTTGGGATGTGCCGTTTGCATGGAAGAGGTAGTGACTGGGTCCCTCATGATTCGCATGCCTTGCTCTCATATGTTTCATCAAAATTGCATTCTCAAGTGGTTGAAGAAGACTCACACTTGCCCCATCTGCCGTTTCGATTTGTCAAAGAAACGTAGTAATTAGTGTAGCTGTGTGCTTACAGACTCCGTTTTGGGAAATAATAGTTTCTCATTAATTTAGGTACATTGCCTTGTCAATTAGGTTACTCTAGCTACATTATGTAATTAGTTTCAGATTAAACTGTCATCAGCTTTTTGATTATCAATGAAAGTACTCTATTCAAACTAATTTGTTTTTTTTTTTGGATTAATTTGTATATTATATATAGTCGATGATTGATTCGCAAAAATATACAGTCGATGATGTGTTTAATTAATTAATTAGTGGATACACATAAAGAGTAGCCGGTGTGCATGGATTCGTGATGTTGTTATTGAATATTAAAACAATCAAGAGGACCTTCCCCTTTATTAGATATGATGATAGATGGATATTGTTGAGTTGTAATTAAGGCCCTGAATTCCACCAAAAATTGATCTAATCAATTGGGCTTGTCTTACCAGATCATACAAACAGATCAAAATTGTAAATTAAACTAAGAAAGAACATTTAAGTAACGTGTAATTAACCCATTTGGTCCCTGATCAATTATTTAATAGCTATCACTTTGATCTTGAACTTCTAATTTCGACAATTATCATACTTAATTTCTCCAACTCTAAGTTATTGATTTTCATTCACCAGTACTTTTTCTAATCTGATGAAGCCAAAGAGAGGCAATAGATGATTAGCCAACCCATTTGATGTGAATTCAGCAGGCAAAAAATAAAAATAACAATCTCACATGTAAACGTACTCGTTAACTAGTCATCCGTGTTGTGTGCTAAAGATTGAAAAAGCACTAAAACAGTAAAACGTTATTCAGTGATCCATATACGACTATCAAAAAAATAGACACAGTAGTGGATAGCAAACAAATTAGGAACGAGTAAAAATAAATAAAGACTAGGACGTTTCACTTTAAATAAATAAAAAAAGAATAAAATCATTTCGGTACCTTCTGTAACAGCGAAATATCCTTTATAAAACACTAAGATAATTGGCATCAAATTTTTCTAGGAACGAGATCGGTGATATGATCCATTGTCCGGTCTATAAAGCAAGATCATCACCATATCATTCCTAGGAGTCATTGTCACCACTTTGTGATCACTATACCGGTATATTGTGGTGCCTAATATGGTATCAGAGCTATTGGGTTGGCACACCGATCCCATCCCAATAAAGGGAATTTCAGGGGGGTTTACTAGGAAGCGGAAGTAACTTCCTAGCTGGTAATCGAATTACATATGAAAAATTTTCCTGATCCAAATCCCTCCCAGTACTACAGAATAACAGGTCATTGCAAATGCCCCTTAATAAAGCATGGATAAGATAAAAATTTTATATTAACCAAATGATGCTCTATTCTCTGATATTATGATGATGCTATGATGAAGATGATATAATCTTATATATTCGTCTTCCTTCTCTCGGTATATTGATCTATACCAACATCTCCAACATGGTGATCCACCATAATGCAGTTGCGATTCCTCTCTATGATGCCCCGAACTCTAGCCTCTCTCTCCTAATTGTATACACACAAGCGTATTGTCTAGTGAAGGTTTTTTTTTTTTTTAATACTTTTTTCCTTTTCGTCCAGTGATTATATTAAAAGGAGAAACTTACTAGTTCAAGAGATAAATAAGAGAAAAGAGGAAGAAAAGTGTGAAACATTAAAAAGATAAGTAAAACTGTAAACGGAAAAAATATAATTAAAAAAAAAGTACTTTCTTTCCTTTTTCCATCTTTTTTTGTCTATGCGAGGAAGAGAGAGAGAGAACAACAATTATTTTCATTCATAACGAAGCGCATTGCAAAACAAACGAAAAAGGCGCTCAGTATAGATAAACATATTTGATCAAATTTTCTGGAATAAGCTAACAAGGTTCTAATTTTATAGTTATAATTTAGTTTTAAAAAAAGTAAATTATAGTGTTGTGTAAGTATTTTAAATTTTCTCATTGTCTCCTATGACTTCATAAAGTAGGTCATATTCTAAATATTTAACTAATTAATGCATTCGAGTGATATAATAATTTTATAAGTATGATCACAATAAAAGTCATATGTGGAACGGAAGTCTAAAATTATATATACAATTGAATTTAAAATCAATTGCCAAGTTTGGACATTAGAGAGTTAGTATTGCGACCAATGTAGTAAATAAATTGTAGAAAATAAATAAAGTTAAAGACATAAGAATTTATAAAGATTAGCTCGTTAATGAGAGTTACATGCCCTTAGAATCTACGGATGTTCTCTTATAATCAATGATAAAAATTATAATGGTGATTGAGAACAAGAAAATCAGGAAGAAAGAAGAAGGGGAAATCGCGAAAATGTGATTGATATGGTTTCTTCGAGTGCGTTTGTGTATGGGTGTAAAGAGTGCGTGAAGATCCTTTTTGGGCGTAAATGATGATTCCTTTTCATAGGCTTTGATCTGCTGGAATTAATACTTGTTGGAGTAGGTTTTCCATTTGACTTTTGAATGGAGATCCTCTAAATATGTTTTCCATTTAATAAGATACTTGGAGATCAAGTGACTGTTTGGTATAAGGATTCTGAATCCGGAATCATGATTCAAGACTCAAATCAATGTTTGTTTACAAAAAGTAAAAAGCGGTTCTGATTTAATTCGCTTAAAATTAGTGTTTGGTTTAGATGGTTTTGATTCAATATTTGAATCCTGATGTTATGTTTTAAATCATGAATCACTCCTGATTTTAAAACCACTCATCCCCTTAGTTTTTGGGTGGTTCAAACCCTTAATTCTGGTTCTGGTTTCATAACCATGATTTGGACGTAAAATCATGAATCATAGTTCTGGTTACAGAATCAAAACTAGAATCACCCTGGTTTGAACCGTCATACCAAACGAACCCCAAGTAAATCCTTGTTTGAGTTGCCTTTATCTCTTTTTGGCTTATCTTTTGGAGATATTCTGGAGATAATCTGTTATTTAAGTTACGGATCCTGAGGTCACACAACTCGTTGCGGCTCGTCGAAAAGAGTCACACCTCTCCAATCGCGATTAATTCATTTGGCAGGCTATATATGCATGAGAATTGTGAGGCTATCGACTTAATGATTGGTTTAGAACCTGCAATCATTCGCGACTCATTCCTGATAATGATTTCGTGATTGACCAACATTTTCTAATACGTGTGCTGACACGTGTATGATGAAAGATGAGATACAAAATAGAGACCTCAACACCATATATTAAATAAACTCAAGGGAAAG